GGCTTTGAATTTTTGAGGGTTTCACATTTCGATGTGGTTATGAATTTCCAAAACGAAAAGTTTCAAACGAGGAGACAAAGGAAAACATGAAACAGACAGCAAAAAGTGTAATTGTGTATGATTTACAGTACTTTTAATTCTGCTGTTTTCAAGAAGAGGAGAGTAATAAAATATGTTGGAGAGGGGAGGGGAGAGGTTTATACGTCAACGACCTTGGGGAGGATGGGCACCCCTGTAAGGAAATGCATGAATGCAACAAGAACCATGCAACAAGTAGATGTCACTTGTCTGTTGCAAAATTATATTATAAAGTGTTCATGTACATGTTCAAGTGATGTTGGCACATCAAACATTATTAATAGATAATAGAAAATTGACATCATCAATGATATCTACTATTATCTTTTGCGTGGCGCATGACCTACTGATGCATGGCAAATAGCAACACAGAGCCCAAGTGTCAGCATAGACCAAGTGCATCCATCGCACGTTTGCTCGTCCAACTAGCCGTTTTCCGTAGAGCTTTTCGTCGTAGGGTCTCGTTAGTTTGGCGTTCCTCCTTCTTCTCCAGACGTCGTTCTGTCTAACAGGACCACCAAATATTTTTGGCCTCATTTATCTTTAAGTCCCAATAGCGCAGTTACCTGTTGGATTGTCAGAAAAGCGTTAATTAGCTCAGATCTTGATCTTGCCACTATTTCAATATCGTCAACTCAGATCTTGATCTTGCCACTATGTCAATATCGTCAACTCAGATCTTGATCTTGCCACTATCTCAATATCGTCGGCAAAGCCCAAGATCTGGACACTTCTGTTGACAATAGTTCCTGTTGTCTGTAATCTCGAATCCCTACTACCTTTTGAAGGCCTAAAATGAACAGCAGACATGCTAACCCATTTCCCTATTGCAAACCCTTATCGGTCTGATACTCGCTCGAGCACACTTCTTGTATTTTTGATGACATTCCTCACATCATGCATGGTCATCAAGGCAGATAAGCTTTCCTGGGAATTCCAAATTATTCAAGTGCCTTGTAAATTTTGGAGCGATTAATGCTTTCGTATGCATTCTTGAAATATTTCATAAGATAGTAGGTTGTCATATTATATTGAATTCTCCTCTCCATGATAGTCCGCAGGGAAAAGATTTAGTCTACTGTGGATTTCTCACTTCTAAAGCCAGTCTGGTACTTTCCTACTATTTGTTCGGCATAGGGACGCAATCGATTGAAGAGTATTCTGAAAAGAATTTTATATGCTGTTGGTAGGAGCGATATTCCTCTATAATTATTGCAATCAAGCCTATCAACTTTTTTTTAGATAGGGCAAATTATTCCTTTTTGCACTCTATTGTCATATTTTCATCAATTCATATCTGCACCATCAAATTATGAAGGGTCTTATGCAAGTCTTCGCCTCCATATTTAAGAAGATCAATTGTAGGGGTTCATTATCTTTTTCTGAGTGTTGTTTCGATTTTCCTTCCTGGCAACTTCTTCTGCGTCTTCCACTGTATAGTCATTTAGCATAACTTCAAAGTGAAGCACTCATCTTTGGAGAATGTCTTCTTTATTCGTGAGCAGCGAACCGTCCTCGCTCTTGCAGGGGACAGAAGTTGGTTTGAAATCGGCTCTCTCCTGACTGACTCTAAGATAAGAGAGTTTACTGTCATTTAATTTTCGTAGTTTCTTGATTTCTTCCAATTTTTTCCTTTCCCAGGTTTTCTTCTTTTTCCGATGAAGTTTCTTCTCCGCTTGCCGCAGTGTTTTATATTCTTCCGACGTTAGCCTAGTATCTTTGTCTAACTCTTCTTCTGCAGTCCTCGTTATATCTTCTTTCAGAATCCTCCATTTATCTTCCAATTCATAATCTTTGCCCATTTCTTTCATTACATTCTTCATGCGATGGCTGAACTGTTATTTTTTTTATTAATTCTCCTTTTTACTCTGTGGCTTTTGGATTGTAGATCGTATTCTGGACATTACCAAATAATGATCCAAATCCATGTTAGCGTCACGAAAGATTCTGCTGCTGATGAGGTTGGATTTGTGGCGAGCCGATATGAGAAGGTGGTCAATTTGGTTACATGTTTGACCATCTGGAGACCTCCATGTGTTTTTGTGAATCCATTTAGCAGGGAATAAGGCACTCCCAATAATCAAATCTCTTGAGAAGGCAAAGTTGATTAATCTCTTTCCATTCTCGTTGCTTTATTCATGGAGCATTTTTTCATCATTTCGAGGGCAACTGTCGAGCTCTCTCTCCAATCATAGAAATCTTTGTTCCTCCTCGGAAGATTCTTCTGTGGGAGCGTGACAATTAATTAGACTTATCTTATAGAAGAGTCCTTTGAGCCTTAGTCTTCAGAGCCATGGACATACGGCAGCATATTCTATGACTCGTTCTCTCATTGTTGCCCTTACAACAAACCGGTGCCGATCTTCTTTTATCCAGGATTCCAGTCTAACGAATTTCCTGGATCGCAGTGATGCCAATCTTATAATTGTATGATTGCATAATTATTTGCTTCAATAGAGCTTGAAGTCCTCTGGGTCTATTAAGAATTAAAATGTTCCTTTGTCCAACATTGTCCTTTTGACGGTTCCGATGTCTTTTACCAATTATCAATCCGGCGTTTTCTCTTCGAGGTTTCGGGATAAGGGTGGTTTAAGGGGAGAGGGATATCAACCCATACTCTGCGCTCGATTCAGGTGGAGGGACTGCCTCCTAGGAGTATCCTGATGCACAATCTTCCAGATCAATAAAATAATTCTAACTCAAGAGATAACATACTAAACAAAAACATAAAAAAAAACATCCTACTAATCCTCTTTTAACTTAAAACTATTTATCTAACTCCGCCAACTATCCTCTCGAGGGGAGTTGCAGTCCCAAGCCCTGGTAAAGGAGGAGGGGTCCCCACTCCGTCCAGGGGTTCACCCCCCAAGAGGTGGAATTGGTCGAAGAGAAGAAAAGAGCGGGGGGATAATACACATCCTAGGGATAACAGAGACTAAGAAGAAAGGCAAAGGAGAAAAGAGGATAGAAGACCACATATTATTATATGCCGGAGTCAATCCGGGGGAACATGGAAAGAGCGGTGTGGCATGCTTATTTCACCAAAACTTGGCTCACTGTGTAAAGGACTGGAAGGCTATTAGTGATAGACTCATGCGAGTGGAAGTATGTAGCGGAGGGGCCTCATACTCTCTACTCATAGCATACGGACCAAATAATAATGCCACTAGTCTTGAAAAGGAAGCATTTTTCGACTCTGTACAGCGGGAGATCGATTTATGCAAAGGCATTCCAATAATTATGGGAGACCTGAATGGAAGAGTAGGGAAGGACTCGACCAAATGGGGTGGCGCATTGGGACCAGATGGTGAGGAAAGTTGCAACGACAACGGCAAAAGAATTCTTAACCTTTGTCTTGCAAATGATATGATAGTTGGAAACAGCTTCTTCCCACACAAAAAGATTCACAAATATACAAGAGAGGAGCCAAATAGAAACGAAAGGTCTTCGACTATTACCTAATACAACGAGAACAAAGACAACACGTATTAGACATAAGAGTCAAAAGAGGCTACGAAATAGGGAGCGACCATCGGCTACTTATAATGGATATAGTACTCAATAACCGCACAACCACACCAGGAACTTCAAACCGGACAAATAAGTTCAAAATAAAATATTTCAAACTCAGGGAGCCAGAGGTGATACGGGCATATCAGGACTTGATTGAAGAAAAGGCGAATAGTGGAAGATACAATTGGGACAGTGACAACGTAGAAGAATCTTGGTCGGCAATCAAGATAATAATACTGGAGGCAGCGGAGATGACATGTGGAAAAAGCCAGCTGGGGCATAAATCAATGAAAACTGCTTGGTGGAATGAGGAAATTAAAGAGGAAATCAAACAGAAGAAAACCTTATGGAAGAGATACCTGCAAACCAAGTCAGATGCGGCATACTCCGTATACAAGGAGCAAAGACGGAAAGTGAAAGAGGCCGTGATGAGAGGAAAGAAAAAGTCCTGGGAAGAATTTGGAAAAAAAGATGGAAACTAATTATAAGGAAAACCAGAAACTTTTCTACCGAAGCCTCAGGAGCATGAGGAAGCAGAAGGAACCGGTGCTGAAGCACATCAAGGACAAAAATGGAGACATCATGAGTTGGCCAGAAAACATTATGGATAGATGGGCGGAATTACTCACATATCAAGAGCAGGAAATGGAAGCGAAACAACAGTCTAACAGTACAGAAGTTTTCATTGAAAATAACCCGTAAATATTTTTTAAAAAAAGTTTACATTTTTTTACGGGGTTTATTATAGAAATATGGGTCGAAAACCAGAAAGGAGTGTTGAAAAACGTGCCATTATTGTTGTATTACAACAAAGAGAAAACAATTCGATTAAATAAATTGCATCTAAGACTAAGGTTCCTTAGACTACTGTGATAAGAATGATGAAGAGATAGAAAGAAACTAGGAAAAATAAGAACCGCCAACGATCTGGGAGACCTAGAGTAACGTCAAAACATGAGGACAAGTTCATTTTGATCTGAACCCCATTGAACTGTTATGAGATGAGCTCGAGAAACACGTTCGGAAGAAACAATGTACCAAACAAAACGAATTTTCTCAACTAAAACATTGCAAAAATTAATAGAAAAAATGCCAAAAATTGGACAGTATTCATAATTATGATAATCCTGAAATGTTTTATATGTTACTGTTTAAGATTAAAATCATTTATTTTACTGAAAGGACTTTTTTTAGTTAGAAGATATTCTGCTACCATATTTAACTCTACCTCTCTGCTGTTTAAATGTTATCAACGATCATTCCTGATTCAAATGGTGTATTTGACAGCTTGTCAGTAATTGTAACGAATAACTGTTGGGGGGTTTCTTGGATTGAGTTAATTTCGTTATCCTGTAATTAATTATTTGGTGAAATACATACCATACTCTGTCTTAGGATAACTATTCCTAATGGGTTTGTGTAAGTGTCCTAAGAGGAAAGTCACAACACAATTTTGCTATGAACACCGAGTCAATGTGTGTGAACATTGTGTGGTTTTAAATCATCCTAGAGTAAGTTTAATAGTAATTTTTAATGTCTTTGGTGTTTGGTGAATCTGTTAATAATTTTGTTTAGTAAATGAAACAATGTATATTATATGTTCATTGATTGATTTAATTTCAGTGTGTGGTACAGTCATATTTACTTTGGCTACAGGATAGTGATTACAGTCCACATTGTATTTTATGCAAAAAAGAACTTGCTACTGACGAATGTGTCAGGCTATGTTGTTACCGTAAGTAATCAATATTAGCTTATAATTTTGATTTACAATTTGAACTGATCAAGATATACAGCATTAAATGTATATAGATATATGATTATATTGTTTTCTATATCTGTCATTGTTTCTGAAATCTTTATAGGCAGTTTTACGAATTTGGTCCTGAACATTATCATGGGTCATTTATTGCTTTAAGTTTTCAACTTGTAGTAACTTTGATCTTGGACTAGCATTCAAACAAATATCATGTTTGTTTGACAGGTAGTTCAAGATCAAATCGATCTAACTGTGCATGTGATGCCAAAATTAGTCAAGTTTCTCAGAAAGTATATTTCTCGTAATGCAAAAAATGAATAACAATGGGGACTTGAATAAAGTAGTGGTTATTCAATTATTATAATGCAATTTCAGGTACTTGTTTAATAGCGTCAAAACCTCCCTTGTTATCTAATCTTATTTCACATAACCTCCCTTATCTTCTCTAACCTAAGTTATTCCCTTGTTTATTTTTTATTTATTGTATAAGCTGTGAATTAGTCTTCTTTAATTATGGATGTTGTCACATTGTGGGAATTGACGTCTTCAGAAGAAGAGACTATGGCTATCAAATATTTTCAAGACGCCGGGATATTTGCAAAGGTGAAATATTGTGATGAAGGTCATCAAATGAAGTTCGAGGGAAAGATTAAATGGAGATACTTTCGTAGTTGTAACAAAACCGTTTATATAAGGAAAGGAACGTCGTTAGAGAGGTCGAGGATTTCTTTTTTAACGGCTTTAAAATTCATTTAATAGTGGTCCCATAATTTGACAACAATACAGTGGGGGAAAGATCAGCTCAAACTATCCCAGGCAACTATCGTAACGTGGAACAAATTTTTAAGAGAGGTTTGTGCCCATAACATGTAATACAGGTCAAGTGAAAAAATTGGAGGGCCTGGCAAAGTTGCAAATTGCCTATATTTATTATTTCATTTATTTCTATATATATGTTGCAATGTTTTTTAATTATATGTATAATGTTTTGGTCTATTTAATATATATCCTGTAAAATAAATTTTTTTTTTCCTTTGTTTTTGTTTTTGTTCACAATTTCTATAATATCAATACAATAAAATAAATATGAATACAAAGATATAATAATATGAATATAATACAATAAATATGAATACGAAGATACTATCAGTGGCTTATCAGAGTTATCAGTGTTAAGGTTATAAACATTGGCAGATAGCAGTCCGACGCCAGCCGCTATTAAACAAGTACCCAATTTCAAAAAAACAAACACAAAACTATATTTTAGCAAATTTTACAAAGCAGAGTTTATAAAAATACACAATTTTTCTAACTAATAATAATTAACATCTGTTTTTTAAAAAACCTTTTATAATAGCTGTTTTGCCTGCAATTAAAAATAATAAATTTCATCATATGTAGGGTAAGTGACTGATCACCGAACTTTCCGATTTTAGCTCCTACTTTACAAGTTATGCTCCACTTTGGTGGGTTCATGACTTCAAACTGATCCTTTTTAGTTAAAATTGGAGCCTTAATTACTTTTGATTGCATCTTTGGTTTCAACTTCTGTTTGCTCAAAGCTGATGGTCAAACTTCCAACAGGTCCTTTTCAGTTGAGGCCAGGGACTTACCAGACAGTTTGATCACCTCCATTTCCTATCAGATACACTCTGCCATTCTCAGATTTCCATTTATAATATGATCATGAGGTCTTGTGCCCACCCATCAAAGTGGAACAACACTTATAAAATAGTACCAGTACTAGTTCACATGAGTTCCGCACAGATTATGCGTGGTTCACAATCACTTGATCACACTTGTTCATAAATTGCCGAATGCATTTGGGTCTATCCAAAAGTGAATGAAAGCGACCGATCTCTTGAGTCAGTTACTACTACTTTCCCGCCATTTAAGTAGTTCTATAACCTTAACCATGTTCAGTTCTATAGCAGGAGCCGACATATATTCGAAATTTAGGCTACTTCATGTAACCTTAATCGAACTTGTATATATATATTATACAGCTGTGGAAAAGAAATAGTAATAGATAAAAACCTTTAATTGTTATATCTCTGAATGCTATTTCACAATATTATTTTTCTTATTAATTATTTCCAATATTCATTATCTCGAAATTGTCAGATATTCTTTATCAGTTGTTTCCCCCAATACATTAATTCCTTCCTCGAAAATTAACGCGTTTTTATTATTTTTTTTATGAATACAATAAGTCCCCATTTCCGGATTACTAAGCAAAATAACTATGAATAACAATAATTAGCTAATTCATTCAATAAAAATAATATAAATTAAAAGGAGAAAATAAATTTTAAGTTAACAGTATAATCCAACTAACTGTCAGATCTATGGGTCCCGTTGGGATTGGACATTATTGGAATAGATATTTATCTATATAACGATTAATATATATATTTTATTTATTAATTTTGTCCACTTTTGTCACGCAATCTTTAATCTGATATTATTTTCATAAAAAGTGTCTTTAGCAACTTAATACTGGACTCTTATATCTAAGATATCCAAAAAGCTAGAAAATCAATGAATAATTTCAACTTCGACAATATATTCATAAAAAGCTCCGATGAATAGAAAATAGTGGATTCGTATATTTAAGAATTCAAAAAAGTTGTAGAAACTTGATGCTCAATCTCAAATCAGACAGAATTTGCATTAAAAGTGCCCCCCTCCCCCAATAGTGGATCCTCATATTATTACAAATCTAAAAGTTATATAAACTAGATAGATGATAGCGCAATTCTAAAAAAGGCTTGCTAAAATAAATAATAAATTCAGTTATTCCAACTTCTATTGAAAAACTCAAATAACAAATAAAAAGGTAATAGATAACTTCAGATTGTTTATCATTCAAATGATAAAAAAATCTTTTATACACAGTGATAAAATATAATATACAACAGTATATGCGTACTTACAGCCACTACATGTAAGCTAGTGTCAATAACAATTTTATTTCTAAAAGCATTTTTTTTTTTTAACAGGCCTTGAAGAACGACTCAAACATAATTTTTTATATATTTATGGGGGCTGGGGTAGCCTTGCGGGCTAAGGCGCTTGCAATAGGTAATCAAAGTTAAGCAACGCCGAGCGTGGCTATCACTTGGATGGGTGACCGTCCACAAAGGAGAGCCACTTTGCCCGAGATCCCCCTCCCTCCCCCCGGGTATGTGAACCTGTCAGCCTACTGAAGGCAACTCACACCGACCGGGCGTAGGATTGATGACACTACGCCATACTTTAATAAATCGGGAATCGAGATGTGGTCAAGGAGACCACACCCATGGTCAAAGATCTTCATGGTCTGTAGCGCCAACCGAAAAAAAAAAAATATATATATATATATATTGTAAGGTTACATTCCCTTCGAAAAGTAAACATACAGTTTCTGAACCAAATAGTATTTATTTAACACAATAATTAAATCCCAGGTTGGGTTGAGACAATAAACACACATCCTCAATTATACAATATAAATGCATACATTAATGATACAGCACATTTATGAATTTCCATTAAATTTGTCAGAGTCTAGTCTTGGCACGCTTTCAAACTGTCCATTTATATCTCACTCACCCTGTTCTGCAGTGAGACTTCCTCGGTATTGTATCCAACTTCTACAACTTTCTCTTGTTCTATTATTTTTTTGTCTTCTTCTGGTTGTAGACACTCACTAGTTGTTAACTAACATTTTCTTCTCACCGATCCTCATTACTAGCTGGCTGGCTACCTTCTGCCCTAACATCTCGAACTATCACCCACCATCTGTCATTCTTTGTCCATTTTTGGCAGTAGTTCGTGACGTCACTACCTTCGCACCTCTATTCAAAATAGCTATGTAATATTTACATTACAATATATATTATTTTTATTTCAGATTAATAATCGTTATAATGAAAATTAATAATTAATAAATTAGTAAATACATAATTCGTTGTTAATAAGGAAGCTCCATGAAGGGAATATGGTTAATAAATATAATATATATCATATTAGTATATTCATGAATTAAGTAAGGGAATGGATAAGAAGACTTTTGTCACTGTCACTGGCCTAGTAAGGTCCAAGGGAGTGGAGCAGGTTCTCACTGTTCCAAAATGAGACTCTGATCCGTCACTGCTCCACCAGTACCGTCACATCCCTATCCATCTTAGAACTTCCTTATTTATTAACTAATTATTTATTAAAATCATTTATTTAAAATTTTGTAATTAATAATAATGGTAATTACTCTGGAAAAAAATAAAGAAAATATATAAAAGGATGTTTGAGTCGTCTTTCAAGACCTGTTAAAAAAAATATACTTTTAGGAATGTAATTTTTATTGACACGTGCTTACATGTAGTAGCTATAAATATGTATATACTATGGTATATTATCTTTTACAACTGTATATAAAATATTTTTTTCATCATTTGGATAATAAATAATTTGAAGTTATCTATTTTTTTATTTATTTGTTATTCGAATTTTTCTAATAAAAATTGGAATAATTGAATTTAAAATTTCTTTTAGCAAACCTTTTTTTAGAATTACGCTATCGTCTATCTATTTCTTTGATATAAGGGTCCACTATTTTCTAATCGAGGGTGCTTACTTTCTGAATACTTTCTTACCTTACCTTACTTTGATTACTTTTCTTACCTTCAGTGAATACTTTCTGATTTGAGATTGCACATCAAGTTTATGTAACATTTTTGTTTTCTTTGATATAAGGATCCACTATTTTCTAGTCGTCGGCGCTTTTTATGAAAATACTGTCGGATTTGAGATTGCACATCGAATTTTGTAGCTTTTTGGATGGACCAAGGGTTTACTATTATGTTGTCAAGAAAGCTTGTTCATCTTTGAAAAGCTATAGAATTCCTTTTTAAAAAGGATTCCATTCATAGTTATTTTGCTTAATAATTCGAAAATGGGGACTGATTGTCATCAGTAGAAAAAAAAAATTGTGTTTA